CACTACAACCATCTGTCAACATTCGTCATTCACAACGATGCGTTTCTCTTAGCAACAAGACCTCGTGCGGCCGAGCCGTGAAAAAAAATTTGAGGCATGAAACAAATTATTAAGTAAAAAAGTTCCGGGCACAGAAATTCACAGGACATAATGCAACATTCACGAACGTTGTTTTTATCAACATTTGTGTAAGAAAATATCTTAGAGAAAAGTCTTTCTCGAAAATAACACAAGTCTTGGAACCACAAAAGGTCGACATTCTAGTGCGGGATGCGGAAGCGGCAGTGTTGCGGGCGCTCATTTGAAGCTCGCAACAAAAACCGAGCAGAGGGTCCTGAGAATTCATGAAAGCGGCTGACTTCATCTTTACTGCGAGTCCCGAGGTCGCTTTCTCGGCGGTGAGGCAAGTCCAGAGTCTTATGGAACAACTGATCTGTAAACCTCGAGGGAAATCCTCCGCGCCGAAGGGATAGCCCTCCAATTTACGATCAAAGCTCGCATAATGGCGATAGACTGCGATTGCCTCCGATTCTAAGGCCTTTCTGTTGTAACAGCGAATTAGTTGCCCTGTCACTTCTGAATCATGCGCTCTGATCCTTATTATCAGATGTCCAAAGTCATAGTCGGAGTCCGGCTGGTCAAGTTTCCCTTTTTTCGCAGATAAGCAGAAGAAATGTTTGAGCGACGCAAGTGCGATGTTTGAGCGACAGTCGTGTATGACTTAAGTAAAGATTCGGGACGATTTCAGTAACGTTTTCATACGACTGTTAGATTACCGTATTTTAATGATTGAGGTTAAGGCGAGGAAATTGTGTTGAGTGAGAGTTGTTAACCAGTTATCGAATAATGTGCAGCACTGCAATCAATTGAATATCAATTCAATTGATTGAATTGAGCTTCAATCAAGAAATACAATTTCTCTATAATTTTCGTTCATTTTGGGAGGGGAGGTGGATAATATTGTAATCTTTGAAGATTGCCTTCCCCAATCTGACGCTTGGTATAATTTTAAATTTAAATTTAAATTTATATTATTTTAATTTATTTTTTATATTATTATATTATATTTATATATATTTTAAATTTAAAAAATTTTAAAATTTAAATGAGTCATTTTTTTCCATCTGCAGTTTACATGTTCAAGTTGAAAGGTACTGTGCACGTAGTGGACGATGGAGTCACATATGCAAATATTCATTCACTGCACCCAGTCTCAGTAAGCCAAGTACTGGATAAAGCATATTTTATATATATTATTTAAGCCGTGGGATTCAGTCCCATAATAGAAGCTCTTAATATAATGCAAAGGAAGTTACTAGTTATTGCACCACGTCTGAAGACGTAGGTACGATGTGTGTAACTCGAACGCTAACTCGTGAAGTTAAATAGCAACATTTTTCTTGCTGTTCAGCGGAAAATGAGAGTAATTGGCCTTCGGATGTCATCTAAATTTATGCCCTGAATTAATATAATTTTTGATTCATGTTATAATAAAATTAAGCCCCTCGTCATGAACATTTTATTTTGTCATTGTTTAGCGAATAATATGCAGTAATTATGAATAATAATGTGCAGGAATTATAGTTATAAGAAGCAATGTTGAAAAATGTATGACTCTCCTGGATCTCTTGGGTCTTTCCGGTGCAAACAAATAGCGACTTGGTTTAAAAATATTCTTTGTGGCCATAATTTTATTCCAACAATTGAACATATTTACTTGAGTAATGATATCCATGGTATCGTAGAAGTAAATAGGTAAATTCGGTAGGTAGAATTTGTTTTTCCTAAATAGTATCGGAAGAATATTTTCGAAAATGACAAAAAATATTCCGAAACAATATTTTTGAAAATTATTTAAGAAGAACATTTTTGAAAATTATTTAAAAAGAATATTTTCGAAGATCAGCTAGAAAGAATATTTTTGAAAATTCTTTAGGAAGATAATTATTGAAAATTATTTGATAAGAATATTTTCAAAAATTCTTTAGGAAGATTTGTTTTGAAAATCGTTTAGAAAGAATATTTTTGAAAATCATTTAGAAAAAATATTTTTTTAATTATTTAGAAAGAATTGCTTTAAAAATTATTTAGGAAAAATATTTTTGAAAATTATTTAGAAAGAATATTTTTGAAAATTGTTTAGGAAGAATATTTTTGAAAATTATTCATGAAGAATAATTTCGAAAATCATTTAGAAATAGTAAAGAATATTTTTGTAATTTATTTAGGAAGAATATTTCCGAAAATCATTTAGAACGAAAATTTTTTGATAATTATTTAGAATGAATATATACAGGGTGCGGCGTGGGAACTTACTCTTTTAAAAAAATCACAAAGTAAAAAGTATTAAAGATAGCGTTTTAATTCTTTCTTTTTTACAAAGAGCTACATTTAAAGTTTCGTTGGGTTTACTTACAAGTTTAATTCTTGAATATTACATCTTGTAGGTGTAAAAACTTCATAGCCCGCGCACCATATTGCGCATGGCGCCACCTTCCTAGGACTAATGGCCGCCACGTGGCGCGCAATTCAAATAAGTAAGTTCCCGCGCCGCACCCTGTATAAAAGTTATTCTGAATTACTATTTTTTGTCTGTTTCCCCCTTGTATTTGCCATACAAAGGCTAGCAGGTTGAGATGAGAGATTGCGTTCACTATCTTGGATCAGCAATGTGGCAGCAATTGGCTCAGATTGTTCGATTCAAACCCACGACATAAATTATTAGATATTGAGAGCTTAACGCGAGAGTTTCCTTTCATCGCAACTTACGAGCTCCACGAAAGGAAAGCGCAAACACAATTCAAATGCCAATAATAAATACTTCACTTCGGTACAAAAAGAAAGGGAAATAATTTCTGAGAAAGGCGATCTCTGGGTCTTACAAAAGGATCCTTCGAGAGCTTACATTTGTTCTTATTTATTTGATATAAAAAGGGATGGTGTTTTTCAGACAGGCGTGAATGATGAAAGAGTCAAAACATTCTTATTATGAAAGGAGCGGCGCGGACGGGGGAACAGATTCTTGACATCTTTATGAGACTCGAGAAAATAACTGGACTGTCTGAGCCTTTGTTTCAAGCGTAATAAGCTCTACATTTTATTTCACTTCAATTTGGTTATAAACTGTAATTCTGACTTCATACGCTCATATCCCTATTTGATTTGAGGTGAATTCCATGTTTAAATTTAAGGGAATAAGTTCAAAATTCCCCGGAAACTTGATTATTGCCCTCATTGAAGGCCAGCGGCTATTGGTGGCGCTTTCAATCGATACTAAATAGCCTTGGTCATCTCTTTTCACTGTCGAATTGTTCACATTGTCTCCATTTTATTGTGACATGAGAGTCAAGGAAAATCCTTTGAGCAAAAATTAACAACACATTAAAAATGAGCATCAGTTCAATGCTCGCCGGATTCCATCATTTATAATGAGCACTGAAAGTCGAAACTTTACATCGTAAAACACACAATTATTAACATTGCCTAGTGATTACGAATTTGAAGGCGAGACTTCGACTCTATAATTATGATCTCTGTACGAGACTTCAAGATTCCTCCGCTTAGTGGACAGTCGGGGACGCGACAGGGGAGGGGGGCTTTGCCGCAGAGTGAGGGGGCAGATGGGGAATTTCCCACTGATGGCGGCCAAATAACCCCCCATCCCACATCCCGCGAGTGTGGGAAGCTCGGCGGGCGGTTTGGTCTAGTGCTCGTAGTATAAAATATATTATCGCGTTTGCAATACCGTGAGACAAAACCTGACGGCTTTCCAAGCTAAATCCGTCAATCACTAACGGGAAATCGGCTGCTAACGATTCAGTGTTAACAACAGGAAGTACACGATTGTACGATTATTGTACTTCGACTGTGTTGCGTGTACCTAAGCGAGCTTCGATTGATTCATCCATTACTGGATAATGTATTTATTAATTTCAAAAAGTAAATCGAGCGGAAATTCAGTAACCTCCGTGTCAGAAATTTTCACATTAGCGTTTAATGCAGAAAGCTCGAGCTTTTGAAGCTCGAGCATATTGAAGGTCAAGTTAATAAAGCCATTAACGACTTGGACTGATCAGACGCTCTTTCGAGTTCCTAGATGCAGGAACGATGAAGCAGTTGTTTGTTGCTGTCGTGCGCCCGAACCTAGAGTTTGGAAACGTCATGTGGTCACCGAAATTTGAAAAGGACAAAAATTTAGTAGATAGTGTTCAAAGACGCGCAACAAGGATAGTTCCGGGCTTGAAAGGCAAGTTCTATGAGGAAAGATTAAAGATTATGAAGCTTCCAAGCCTCCGTTATCGACGTCTGCGTGGGGACCTCATTGAAGTATACAAGTATACTTATGGCTTATACAAGGTCCCAGAAGGATTACTAGAATTTGAAACAAGAACCAACACCGGGGGCCACGGCTATAAACTAAAAAAACAGCGTTGGAACACATCCATGCGACAACATTTCTTCTCGCATCGAGTCACCGACAAGTGGAACAGCCTCCATGATAGTATCGTTGACGCTCCGAGTATGAACATCTTCAAAAACAGACTAGACGAAGCTATGCAGGAGCATATATTCAGTCTTAAAATGCCTAGCAAATTACAGACCAGGCAATAAGTCTAGCAGCTATCTCAATCAATCGTCAGCTGTGGAAAGATCGGGTTCCAAAGGCCGGATCCCTTGTGAATCAAGTCACGAAAAGTTCAAGAATCGGCAACAGGCCATGGGCCTATTTCTTCAACGCCGACAATTCTATTCTTTTCAAATCTAAAATCAGGATATCACGGTTTGTCTGCACGATAAGTAATTTGCAGCCACAAAAATTGATCCATTAGAAGTTGAAACAAAGTTTGGCTCTGGAGTTACTTTAAATATTTTCAGTTAAGAAGCAATATATCGATATTTCGGTTCAGAAACGACTATATATATTTGGAATTAAATATAACTTTTAAAATTAGTATAATTTTAAAATTTTCATTCTAGGACGTAGTATTGAAACGCACCCAATAAAATGATTCATATATTTCTTGGAAGTAATACTTAACGAGTTACATTCAAGCACAAATATCGATGATACATGAGAATATTGGATTGTAAAAAAGAAATTAGTTACTGAATTTGGAGGCTGGAAAAAACATAAAATACTAAAACTACCAACAAATAAAATCAGGTGGTGCAAGATTTAGACTCTAAGTACCGAATTCCCATACAAAGTTGAAAGCAATGTCTGGATAAACTTGAAAACGAACGAAATAATGAGTCTCATTAAATTTGAACCTGTAAAAGTACGAGGTAATAAACACATTATTTTCAGTATTCTCAGGCACACTCGCGTGTAAATATCATTTCAGAGACTAGGTTGATTTTCAACGCAGAAATATCACCAGACTTGTTCTAACGCACCCGAGGAGCCTCAACGTAAAGCTTTTATATGGTTTTTATATTTGCTATCCGAACAACACACAGAGAAATGGTTGTCCAAATAGCGATGTACTTTTTACCCTTGAGTGGGTCATCCTGACCCAGTTAGGCAATGTGTGTCACTATTTAGACAAAATGAACAGTTCCTTTATTCGAGTGAAGTTTTCCTGTGAAGAAGCTTGAATGTTATTGAAAAAATCCGTTCGTTTTGTAGCCAGGATACATCGCACGTTCTAATATTAATAAAGACCTTATCTTATAAACCAAACCACCCCAACGTGAAAAGAATCATTGGATTGTATGCTTGCATCAAAATAATTGTTACTGATACAAGCATCAGAATCCCATTACTCTTTCATAAAAAATATCAGATTTACGAGGTTCTAGTATAGATCAAATCATTGATTCTGTGATAAAAACGTCAGAATCACGGGATTCTATGATAAAAACGTCAGAATCACGGGATTCTGTGATAAAAACGTCAGAATCGCGTGATTTTGTGATAGAACCATCAGAATCGCGAGACTCTTTGATAAAAACGTTAGAATCGCGTGCTTTAGTGATACAAACAACAGAGTCACGTGATTCTATGATAGAAACGTCAGAATCACGTGATTCTGTGATTAAAGCAGAATCATTCGATTCTTGTTCATGTTACATTCAAATTCGTTACCGTTCATCAACTAACCCCAAAACGTGGCACAAAAAACTAACTTACATTGAGTATAAAATATTTTAAAAGTTAACAACAGTTATTAGTTCGAAGAAAACTCTGACAGAAGATGATTAAGGGCGTTTATACAGCGATGAATCTAGCGCGACTGAGTGAGGTGCGGCGTAAAAATATTCTTTTCATTTAAAAAGGAATATTTTGAGCGCAAATATCACGCTATTTAAACATCAATTCGAATAAAATATCTTCAGGCATCGTTTATAATTACTTTACATTATCGTTGAATGAAGTTTGTGCACAATGTCAACTTGGATGAATGTAAAACTATCAACACGGCAACAATCACCACAAAAATACCGTTGGAAATCTCGCCGCACTTCGAACATTTCATATATTTCGTTTATTTCTTTATATTGGGAGATTAGGTACAGGAAACAATTCATTAAATTATTTCGGGCCGGCTGAATCATTTGGTAATTTTACAAGCTAATAACCAAGTTCAGTTATACATGAGGTAATTTTACAAGTTAATGATCAAGTTATTATGGATCACTACAAATAGAAGCATCTGTCGAAATAAAAATACTTATTGTCTTCATAATGACTATGAATAAGTAGCAGAAGTTGGTAAAGAAGTTACTGAAGCCCAAAACAGCTGTAGGTCATTAGTAAAGGCTTGCAATCGAACGCTATATCACAGGCGTCTAAATCTACTCTATCGGTAAATAAAGTATTGTTATTTATAAGTTAAGTGTTAGAAATTATCCAGAAAATTATCCAGTTAAGAATTTACAATAACCCAAACAAAATACAAAACATCTCAAGTTTGAAGCGGGAAAATAACGATGAACAAACTCAGTCGTGATTTTTTCTCCCGTCCACCTTTCCCGAAAAAATTGTGAAGCGATATCACTTAAATAATAGCATGAATTTAGGAAAATTTCTGTAGACACGAATATATTTAAAATACTTCAAATTGAAGTTTTAGGTGTTCCAAAAAAAAAAAATTTCAAATCCAAAGCAAAATCTGTTATATGACCATTTTTTGGGCAATTCATGTAAAAATTTAATAAAATGAACCAAGATAAAATAAGTTCCTTATAACTACAATATAAAAACTACAAAAGAGAACATATACAGAGCCGTAGGTCCCAGGCTATATAAGTACAAACGAATCAACAATTTTCCAATATGTACAAGTAGAATGCAAAAAAGTTTTCCGTGATAAGAAAAGACAGGAAAGCATATTGTCCACTTGCAAAGAAACACCGATATTCAATTTTAATTTACAACGAAAACATCTTACAATGAAAACTCCACTTGAAATATAATCACTGTAATGATTATAATCACTGTAGTGATATTTTAATCGCTGTAATGATTTCAATCACTGTACATGTGAGCTGGCATAATATGTATCGATTTCAACGAGAAACAAAATCTAAGAGAATTATTAGTAGGTATTACAAACGCAATACTGCTGCTAGTCCACTATAATACAGTTGGCAGCGATATCACTTCATTAAAGGCATGAATCTAAGAACATTTCTGCAGATACGAATTTATTTAAAATACTTCAAATTCAAGTTGAGTGTTCATCACTTTTCACTTCGTAGAAAGGCTCCAACTAAAATTTCTAAAACTACAACTTCCACAAGCTAATCCATCTGCTTCTCCTATTTTTCTGTACACGGGAAGGTAAAATATTCGCTAAAACCACCGGTATTAGTGGACTGGTTTGAGAGAGAATTTTATTGAGAGAACTGGTAAACTGCTGTGCTTCTCGAGAAAATTCAGCTCTCTCTGATGAATGAAATGCTAACAGATTCCTAACATTGAATGCTTGTTATCAAAAATGAAGAAAGCTTTCCAGTAAAAAAGACTACCTATATCGAATTCCAGTGTTGGCACGGGAAGAATTTGTACAACAATAAAGTAGGCGCTCAAGTTCAAAGGGGGCATTTCAATAGAGAAGTTCACGATGTAGAATTAAATGAACGAACTGAATGAAATGAATAGAACGTTAATATGCGGATTTTCAACAGTTATCAGTCAGCAGGTAGAATAAATATCAATGCGGTCGGCATAGTTCCAATGAGTAGCAAACCATCACAGACTCAAAGTAAAAGTATTCGCAAAACCTACAGCAGAACACGCCCTGTCATCATAGAGGGATAGACCAAGTGGATAGTCGAGTGGATGTCTTGGTAAAGTCTTCAAGTCTTTACTCATCGAGTGGATCTCCTGGTGAAGTTTAAGAGCATACACCCTGAGTGAATCTCAAAACAAAATCTAGGAGCTTACACATGGAGTGGATCACAAAGAGCTTGGAGGCGAATGCGTTGACTGAGTAGCAGCGGAATCAAGAAGACAATAGTTAAACTGATCAGTTGACGCCGACGGTGAAGAGTGACCTGCGAGATGAAAGGTCCCAGAGCTGTCACAGGCACGCCGTTGAGGAGCTGGTGCGAGGGCGGAGGAAGACTCGGGAGCGTGCGGGTGCGGCAAGCCCGGAGACGAAGGCTGTGACCATGAGTTAGAGGGAAGAGGCGGCAGAGTACCAGCTGGAGGACGAGTAGCAGTAGCAGCAGGAGTAGCGGAAGAAGGAGTAGCAGGAGTACAAGAAGGAACAGAAGAGGTTAAAGCAGCAGGGGAAAAAGTAGCAGAAGCGGGAGGTAAAGTAGCAGAAGTAAGCGTTGCAACAGCCGACGGAAGAGTAGCGTATGAGACAGGAGGTAAAGTAGCAGAAGTAAGTGTTGCAGCAGGCGGAAGATGTCAGGCAGCACGCGGTCAGGAGGCGCTGGCGGCGCTGGTCACGTACTGCAGGAAGCAGATGTTGCACACGCGCACAGGCTTCCAGATGCCGAAGTGCGTCAGGGGCACCGAGCGCTCGCTGCAGCCGCCACAGAACACCTGCGCAACACAGCCATGTTAATAATGCTGGTGGTGCGTGGTATAGTGGGAATAATGAGTGGTTTAGTTGCAGGAGTGAGTGGTCTAGTAGGACGAGCGAGTGGTCTAGTGCAAGCAGTGACTGGTCTAGTGGGAAGAGCTAGTAGTTTAGCGAGAAGAGCGAGTGGTCTAGTAAGGGAAGCAAGTGGTCCAGTGAGATTAGTGAGTGGTCCCTCTAATGGAGAGATTCAGTGAGCTAGACGCCACAATCCCCAAGTGTGAACGCACCTTGCCACAGTTGCGGCAGTGGTGGCGGCGTCTCAGCATGGTGAAGGCGGCGCCACAAGCCATGCACCGCGGTGCCTCCTGGTCAGGTACCCAGCAGGGAGGCTCCTCGGCGGCTCCTCGTCTGCCCACGTCACCCGCCCCTGGCGCCGAGGGTGCCACAGGCACTGACGAGGGCACTAGAGATCCCGACGAGGGCGGCACGTCTAGGGCGGGGCTCGCCAGAGAGCCGCTCACTGACGGCGATGTCAACGTCCCGCTCTCGTCCCCGCTTGCGTCCTGCACGTGGCAGGAGACGAGGGTTAATTTAGGCATAATTTGTGATAATTTGTCATTATTGTGCTTATTACTTCAGTATTTCCTACGTGGACAATATGAAAATTAAGTTAATTACCTACTTGAAGTGCAGAAATTTGAAGCAATGTACTTGAAATCCGTCAATGCCGGAATATCAAGTAACGCATTTCAAGTGCAAAAATGCTGGAATCTATAGTGATGTATCAGAAGCACGGAAAAAATAAAGGTGGAAAGATGTAATAAACCTATTGAATACGCGAATGCAAGACTACTTTTAAACTAAAAATTATTGAAGCCACGAATGATAATCTTGTATTGCGAAAAAATTTTAATTTTATCGTAGCTATATAAAAAGTGACATGCTTTAAAAGGAACTAAAGAATAAAATTAACCCAAATGTGTGAGCAGAGTTTTTCATAGAAGTAAAGGTTCAAGTCGATGTATAAAGTATTCATAAATTTAAATTAAAGTATAAATATTAAAATATTCGTGTTTGCGATCAGCCATTGAAAATGGAAGATCGAATAACTCTTGTTGTAATGTAACCTCAATATTTTATATACTTTAGTAAATTTATAATTGACTTTTTGTTATAAATTAGTACCGTCAAGTGGGGTGACTTCGGCCACAACTACAACAGAAACAAATAGCAGCAAAACAAAATAATAAACGTTGGCCAAAGTCACCCCAGTAACTTTGGCCAACGTTTATTGTTTTTTTTTCGCTGCCATTTGTTTCTGTTGTAGGTGTGGCCGAAGTCACCCCACTTGACGGTAGCAGTAAATAATTCTAGGACATTTTCCTGGACATTGAGAACTAATTTGAATAGATTATTAATAAAGAGTAACTGAATGTGCGACAGATGTTAATGATCCAGAAGACTGTACTGAAGATCACCTGAGCAAGAGGTGACGGGAGCGGCGAGTCGACTGTAGGGGGCGCCTCTAGAGCACCAGAGTCCTGATGTTATAAATAAGAAATCAATTAAATTAAAACGCTTTATTAAATTAAATATTTAAAATTAAAATTAAAATAACATGCTTGGATCAAATACAAAATATTGAGAGCAATTCAATTGACATTCAGGAATTCATATAAAATTTTATTATTATTATTATTATTATTATGCATATAAAACATTAAAAGCATATACCTATAATATAAAGTCACTTAGTTTAACATAAATTAGTGCCGGGTTGGAAATATGATCACTTTATATTCAAGTATAAAGACAGTGGGCAGATGATAAGATGATTTGAAGCTTATTAATATCACCATTCTGAAGCCACCCACTAATTTTATTGCTAAATATATTTGAGTACCAATACAATTTTAGTGAACTGGGTTTGAAAAGGATCAAAAACACGCCACTGAAAAACCGTGTAACTTTTCGGAGTAATAAATTTGAAAAACATTTAAATGACAATTAAATAATGTTTAACTAACGACAATTAAATTACCGTACCTATTAAATTTAAATGAACCTGGAATTAATAACAAATAATTATAAAATAACAAATACACTAACCTGGGTGAGGGGAAGACGTTGGGGGTAAGCTCGCTCAGAGAAAGCGATGGGGGGGAGGGCGTGTGGGGGAGAAGGCTGGGGCTGGGGGAAGCTGCAGGACAGGCTGGGGGAGGAAGGCTGGGAGCTGCTCCCCAGCCCCGCTAGCGCGTCCTCTGCACTCCCCACGCTCAGAGACTCAGAGTCTGGGGAGGAGGAGGGGAGACTGTGAGTGAGCCGGTACACTGTACACTGGAAGCAACAAAACAACACCTACTGTTTACATGAAAAAAAAATACAGCGCACTGTAAATAGAATACACTTCCAACACTGTTGAACACAGGAAGCAACAAAACAATATTTTTTACAGGAAAAAATACAGCAGACAGTAAATAGAATAGTACACTTCCAACACTGTACATTTTATACAAGAACATTAAAAATTATAAAGCGTTGTGTAAATAGAGTACACTGCAAATACCTACTGTACATTTTAAACGTTATACAAGAACACTAAAATTATAAAGATTACCTATGTAAATAAAGTACACTACACGAGAAGCAACATAAAACTTAAACTTACCGTATACTGAAGCATTACTCAAACAAAGTTTAAAAATTAATCCAAATATTACTTAGACACAAGTTAAAACTATCTAAAACATTACTTGAACACAACTTAAAACTATCTACAACATTATTTAGACAAAACTTAAAACCTAATCTATGAAATCACTTAGACACAACTTAAACGTAATCTACAATATTACTTAGACACAACTTAAAACAATAATTGCTCTGACCCTGGCTGGTGGAGTGAGAGTCAGGGTCTAGCAAACGCTCGGACTTGATGGGAGGGTCTGGTGGAGGGTCTGGGGTCTGGTTGAGCAGGAAGACTGTGCGCAGGATCCTGCGCAGGTCACTGGCATAGTTTGTCTGCAGCTGGTCTGCTACGCCTGATATGCAGACAAACAGACGCTGCACCAGATCCCGAGGGTCTTCAAACCTGCCCAGACAACCATGCAGTGAATAACGCTCAATAATGCAGACAAAATTAATCATTTGGAAGAACGATTAATTTAAATTGAACGATTAACAGAAAACGATTGGAGCCAAGGCCAATAGTTAGCACCAATCACGTCACAACAAACATTTCTGGATATTCAAATAAAACACGTGAAAATACCTACAAAATTACACAAATTCATTCAATTGAAATGATTTCTGAACTGACTAAGAATTAATAACATGCTTTAATAATTAAAAATGATTGGAATTACTTTGAAATTTGGTCATGATAATGATTCAAGCTTGTTGATGACAAATAACACATATGAACGTTTTATTACGAAATTAGTATGTAGGTACGGTATCGCATTTAAATGTAAATTGGATAAAAAAATTATAATTGTAAAGGTGAATAAGCCAAAGACACTGAATAAAATTTAATAATTTAATAATCCCGACTGGACCATAAAAAAGAAACAAGAGAATCTGGGAAAAAAGCAGTCAATTATGGTAATTGTTTAGGTGATTAAGCCAAAAGACACTGAATAAAATTTAATAATCCCTACTGGACCATAAATCAGAAACAAGAGAATCTGGGAGGAAAAGCGGGCAAAAATGAAAACAAAATCAGACAACCGGTACAGAATTTGTGACTCACCGAGCGCGCACACGCCAGGCGGTAGCCACCTCAGCCATTTGCAGGGCCAGGGCGACTTCTTCGTCGTTGAGTTCATCGTCTTCAGAGAACGCGGCCCCCACGTCGCTGCTTGTGCTGCTGCTCTCACCCACGTCCTCACTGATACCTCGTCGTTCGTTACCCACGACCAAACCATCTTCGTCGTCCTTTGCTTCGTCACTACACAGCGTTAAACCTTCTTCATAAACTTCCCTTGGATTTGATTCTTGCAGCTCCTCGGTGTGCATATCTCCAGCAATGCTTATATGATCATCAGCAGGCATAACACTTGCATCATCTGCATGAACTTCAGCATCAGTTGGATCGTGCATAGAATCATTTCCCAGAGCTTGGGCGGATAAAATGCTTTCGTCGTCTGTCTCTTTGCCAGTTCTTGATCGGTTTGGTCGAACAGGCGGTGATAGAACATTCTCAGGGTCGTCATCGTGGTAGCTTTCCTCCTCCACATTTGGACTGTAAACAGACTCGACAGAATAGGCTTGGTACCTGCCGTAAGAGTTATTTAGAACCTCCATGTGTCGCTCTGGGGTTGAGGAGTGGAGGGATGTTATGGTTTCTCTGGGGGAGTCAATGATGTGAACGGTGCCCTGTTGGTGTCGAAGGCGTCTTCGACTGTAGTTATCCAGGCCTGGCATTACTTCTTCGCTAATTTCCCGAGAACTTCTTCCATTTGCGCCGAAATTAACTGACATAAAATTGGAACTGTGGTCAACATAAGCTTCAGGTTGTACTAAGTGGTAATCAGGCACCACCATGTCATGGTAGAGGTTGTGGACACCAAAGATGGTGGGGTCAGCCGCCACAGCGCTGCTCACACACTCGCCAATGCTGACGGGAACAGTGTACTCGCTGTCGTCGGTTGGCAAGGTTTGGTCTAACAGAGAAGGTTGCAGGAAGTTTCCACCAGAAATCTCACAATCGTGCATTGACTGCTCAACATCGGCCAATAAATTTGCTGGTAAAATACCTGAAGATGACTCATTGAGGCAAGCAAAGGTACGAGGTCGGGCCAAAGCGTTCCTTAGTTCGCCCAGAGGAGCATTCCTTTCCTGTGGCCAATTCTGATGAGCGTTCACAGATGTGTGGTTATTCACAGAGGCATTAGCATTAGCATCAAACTCGTAATCATTTCGTGATCGTCCTCTAGAACTGGAATATTTAGACCGATGTTTAGGCCGATCACTGGGCAAACCAGACCGATTGCTGGATGTGTGGTGCGGTCTCCGAGTTCGCTGCTGCGACTGTTCGTGATCAGACTCAGAGTCTGCTTGAGCTCGGCTGTCACTGGGCAGATAAGATGCCAAAGCCCTTCGTTCACCAACGTACCCCGCTAAGTCTGAGGCAGGCAGCGTGTTGCGACGAACAGACTGCTGCATTTGTGCTCGCTGCAAGCGTTCGTTGTGCAGGTCGTAAGCGCGCTGCAAACGAATGGCTTCTTCCAGAGACGGCAGATGCGCCAGGCTCTCCACCGTGGCAGTGGTGTTAGGAGGCAGGAAGGCTGGCAGAACTTCAAGGGCTTCAGACACCGAGGGCATCATCGAAGGCGACCCACGGTCTTGTCCTGAATTTGAAGGAGATTTTTTCGACTTTCTGCGAACGCGTGGCCTTTCTTCTGTGCCGGTCAACTTGGCCAGGAACCTAGGAACGAAATTTATTTTTAATTACGAGACATTCATTAAATTAATCGATGGATCATCCAATACAATCTAGAGCTCTTATAATCTAATAAACAGAAGAGCTTTCAACAGGAAAATGTGATCCAACAGAGGCACGGGTTTAGGTGCCATCATTCCATCAAGTATCCTCAGCCTTCAGTTATTCATTAGCCTTAAAGTCAACTAGAAGCATTTAGTTATCCACATGTCTATTAATTATCCATGTTTTTTAGCTATTCATATGTCTTTTATGTATCCACATCCATATGTCTTTTAGATATCCACATGTCTTTTAGCTATCCATATGTCTTCAAGTTATCCAAACGCCTTAGGTTCTGAAAAAGCCTTTAGATGTTCATAAGCCTTTATTTATCCAAAAACCTTCAGTTATCCATAAGCCTCTCCATAAGCCTTCACTTATCCACGAGCAGTTATTTATCCACAAGCCTTCACATGCGGGATAAAGCCCCTAGTACCGTCTAGCCATCCATAAGCACCTGTCACTGAGTCGCTCCTGCCGCAGACGTGCGCGGCTGGAGGCGCTGCGATGCACGCCGGAGCCGCTGGTGCGGCAGCGCTGCGAGTTGCGGTCTCGCTTGCGCTCACTGCTACTTCTGCTTCGGCTAGCTGGCTGCTTCTCTGCTCACATACACGCTCAATTTAGGTAAGAATGTTTCCGGTTCACACATACACACTAAATTAAAATCAGTATAGGTGCTTGATCATTCGAAATATTATGCTTCTCTGCACACACATACGCTCAATTTAGGTAAGAATGCTTCCGGTTCACACATACACACTAAATTAAAATCAGAACGTGTGCTTGGTCGTTTGAAATATTAAATGTTTTATAGTCTAAGTTTTAATGGGATCAGTACCTAGTCTCAGGATATCTTTCATGTTTGTTATGTATTATAATTACTATAAGATCATGTCAGAGGCCGGATTCTACGAGAAGCATATCAAGCTTCGAAAACAAGGAGGCACATTAGTTTAAAACTAAAAATTAAGGTAGAACAAATATTGTCTGAATATTCTTTGGAGTAGGTATTGACTCGTTTATAACACTTCATCAAAATCCATTACTGCATAATTGTCTCGTCAAAATAAATCAACGTTTTTAATTATTATCGTCAAAATATATTAATATAAAGTAATTAGTCTAGTCGAAATTTAGTAATCTAATAAAATCTATTTCGTCAAAATATAATAATATGACGTAGTACGTCTTGTCAAAATCCATTAATGTGGAATAAAGCCAACAAACTGGCAGGTCAAAACCCATTAATGAGCCATAATTAGTTTCGTCCTCAAAATCCTATAGAAAGCCAACAAACTTGCTGGTTAAAACCCATTAATGTGCCATAATTATCCTATATAAAGCCAACAAATTGGCTGGTGAAAACCCATTAATGTGCCATAATTATCCTATATAAAGCCAACGAACTGGCAGGTCAAAACCCATTAATGTGCCATAATTATCCTATATAAAGCCAACGAACTGGCAGGTCAAAACCCATTAATGTGCCATAATTATCCTATATAAAGCCAATAAAGTGGCAGGTCAAAACCCAATCAGTCAGTCACTCAGTCACTACTAATTGGTGTGTATAGAGGGTAGAATCTGGTAGATTTATAGGAAATAAAACTAGTAGATCTATTGATAGTGCTGTGCACTGTGCTATCCTATCCTACAAATCTGTTATGTGACTCTTCAATGTTTAGAAGATCTGCATTCCTGAAGTGTTTTTGTATATTGAAGCCAGTTAAATGGCCAATATTTAGCTCATTACCTTGCTCCATACAAACTTTACAAAGCAATTGAATAGATTTGTCAATAATTGCTTACCCAAAAATCCCTAAGTGGTAAACACCACCTTGGCCTGTTGGCCATTATTGAAAGCAATAAGTGTCCTTTTTAGCCATCCATTACGATCCATATACTGTTAGTAGGCTAATTGCAACATAAAAAATAACACTTCAAAAAAGACAAAAAAGCTGAAAAAATAAAAAAAATCAAATAAATAAAAAAAATCATGAAAAAATAAAAAAATCGTTAATTTTTGATTTAAAAAATAAAATAAGAAAATCACCAACCCTGAAACCCATTAATGTGCTATAATTATCCTTATTAAGTCAACAAACTTGCTGGTTAAAACCCATTAATGAGCCATAATTAGTCTCGTCCTCAAACACAGGGTAAAATAATGCCAGCAAACCCTGGGCAGGGAGGAGGTTGTCCTCGGCAGTGAGGGTGCGACACTCAGGGTGACGCTGCAGGAAGTTCTGGATGAAGCTGCTCGTGAACGCGGCGTTCCTGAACGCCACGGGGATCTCGACCTCCTCCTTCGGCCCTCGATCCTCAGGCCTCTTATCGTCATCTACACGATAATTAATAAAATTAATCATTAATAAATAATTCATTCATTATTAAGATAATCAAGCACAATATGCACAATAATTAAGTAAGTCAGGTACGTGAGGCACTCTTAGGTACTAACAGACAGTCAGGTCAGATAAGGTACCACACAGTCAGGTCAGGTACCACACAGTCAGGTCAGGTACCACACAGTCAGGTCAGGTACCACACAGTCAGGTCAGGTACCACACAGTCAGGTCAGGTAGCACACAGTCAGGTCAGGTACCACACAGTCAGGTCAGGTAGCACACAGTCAGGTCAGGTAGCACACAGCCAGGTCAAGTAGCACACAGCCAGGTCAGGTACCACACAGTCAGGTCAGGTAGCACACAGTCAGGTCAGGTAGCACACAGTCAGGTTAGGTAGCACACAGTCAGGTCAGGTAGCACACAGTCAGGTTAGGTAGCACACAGTCAGGTCAGGTAGCACACAGTCAGGTCAGGTACCAGCAACACAGTACGGCAACACCTCCGTGACTCACAGTTAGGCAGGCTGTAGGTGCTGTTCTCAGGCAGGGACAGGCTGGAGTGCTGTGGCTCCTCCAATGAGCACAAGCTCTTCTCCAGCGCCGCCAGCTCTTCAGGGCTCATCGTCCACAGCAGCTCACGGATCTTGCTCAGCAAAGTCTGCGGAAGGGAAGAACAGGTAAGCAGGGGCCCTACTATCAAAACTCGTACGGTAGCGGCCAATTTTTCGTCTGTGATTGGTGGGTTCAGCTTGATAAGCAGTGAGCGACTGATAGAGTTTTGAACTCGTACCTATCTATTTTTGATAATACGACCGGTGTCATATGCAAATATGCACTGGCGTGTATACGACACCGGGAACTGGCGTGTATATGACACCGGCATCTTGCCAGGGGCCTGCCGAGGTTAAAGTTCTCACCTTAGATGTCAAATTGAGGCAGTCATACTAACCTCGAATAATCTGAAGCGTTATGTAAGTGTCCTCACAATGAAAAGTCTGAAGAGGCAAGTGTCTTCATGCCTTGATGGGTCTGAAGAAGTGTCTCTTCATTAAATGGTCTCAAGAGGAATGACTCCAAGCCTTGTGAAGGGTCTGAAGAGGTGTCTCTTCGTTAAACGGTCTGAAGAGGAATGCCTCAATACCCTGAAGGGTCTGAAGAGGAATGCCTCAATACCTTGAAGGGTCTGAAGAGGTGCCTCTTCATTAAACGGTCTGAAGAGGAATGACTCCATACCTTGAAGGGTGTGAAGAAGTGCCTCTTCATTAAACGGTCTGAAGATAAATGACTCCATACCTTGAAGGGTCTGAAGAGGTGAGAGAGGTTGCGGGAAGACCCGTGGTCCAGGTTGAGGGGACCGTCAGGGAAGAAGAGCAGACCCGCGACGATGGCGAGGCGCGGGATGGTGAACATGAGCGCGGGGTCGCACGTGTCCACCTGCTCCTGGGTGATCAGTGCCAGCAGCAGTGCTCTGCAACCACGATAATGTCAGTTATATACATCAATATAACAATTAAATACCTCATTATATCAAGCATCAACAAAAATATAGCAAATATCAACGTCAAAATCTCCAGTATCAAGGTCAAAATATCAAATATCAACGTTGCTATGTTCCATATAAACGTGAAGATATCAATGTCAATATATAAATATCAACATAGATATACCAATATATATGTCGCTATCTAAATATTAATATCAAAATCACTCCATCTTTACAGCGTACATTATTACTGGATTCCCATTCACAAATAATTTTAAGCTAAATCAATTTTTAGTAAGGCATAAAATAAATTTATAGGTCTATTGTTAATTATAAAGAGCAGTCAGCATCAACCGGTAATTGTCGCGTTTGAACACATATTAGGACATCATGGGAAAAGCATAGCGACACAATGCAGGACTACATATTAGTGGTGTAAAAGGCAGTAAGTAAGAAGATAAGTAGACACTGCACGCACCTTTGCACTGTCTCGGAGAAGAGCACAACGACGCACTGCAAGACTACATGTTATGAGTATAAAGGGCAGTAAGTAAGAAGATAAGTAGACACTGCACGCACCTTTGCACTGTCTCGGAGAAGAGCACAACGACGCACTGCAAGACTACATGTTATGAGTATAAAGGGCAGTAAGTAAGAAGATAAGTAGACACTGCACGCACCTTTGCACTGTCTCGGAGAAGAGCACAACGACGCACTGCAAGACCTCGTACTCCTCAGGCGACTTCACAGGCACCATTGCGCTCACGTAGCTCAGCTCAAACTCAGAGAAGAGTAAGTCGAAAATCTTCAGCGACTCCCGGATCTTCTCAGTGAACTCTTGCTCGGACTTCAGGCACTGTAATTATATTTATTATATATTTGTCATTTCAATGATGAAAATGTGATTATATTACATTTGAACCTAAGATCGAAACAAAAACAATGACGGGTAATTTTTTGAAGATCTTCTGTACACAAATTGAAAACTATTCTAGAATGACATAAAATGATTGGGGTATCTAATGGGGTCATTAAAATTTTCTACAAGAAGTTGATGCATAACGCAAAACTAAGTCATTGTTCATCTTTCCACAAATAAAATTATCTTTTATTTGTAGAGTAGAAGCATCTAAGAACATGAAAGAAACCAATTCTAACTAAACTACATTTATTATTACAGTTATTATCTAAAAAAATTTCATAGAAGCATAATAATTTGATAGATGACCTTAGTTATTAACCAATAGTAATTTCATAAAAGCAAAATTAATTACAAGCACACCTGCTCCCTGAGAAGATTGCGGACAGTCTCAATGGTTTTAGTGACCGCCTTGGCAAGCGGACGCATTCGGGAGCTCTCACTCTCCCTGTTGAGGATGCTGCTGCCTGCTGCTAAGCACTGCCAGGTACATTTTTGTTATCACAAACGTGCAACAAATGGTACTACAAATAAATAAAGAAAATAAGGGAAGATAGTAATTTTTTAGCTTTAATTGCAACGAATTCCTTGCAAGTGTTTACAATCTTTTCAAAAATGTGGTACAAACGGTACTACTACAAGTCAATCAAGAAAATAAGGAAATGTAGTGATTTTTTCGCGGTAACTGCAACGAATTCCAATTAAGTGTTTACAATATTTTCACAAACGTGGAACAAATGGTACCTACTACAAGTAAATCATGAAAACAAGGAAAGGTAGTGATTTTTTTTTGCTGTAATTGCAACGAATTCTAATCAAGTGTTTACAATCTTTTCACAGACATGGAACATGAACGCAACAATTTACTCACAGATATATGAAAACATATAGTGAGTGATCTTTTAACCCCAATTACAACACACATAGTATTCCTTATAAATACCTTCTAATACCTTCTAATAAATACCTTCTAAGTATTCTTTCTAAGTATTCACTTCTTCCTTTTATTCACTTCTAAGTTAGGGTCAGACTCCTGCGTATTGGAATAATTTTCTCGAAATGAACTGGGACAACCGGGACGAGACAAGAAACTACTAGAAAAAAATAACGGGACATACGGTAAATTTGTCCTGGAATAAATGTATGAAACGGGAAGGGATGGGTGTCCCGGACTATAAAACGATACGAAACAGATATAAAACGAGACCTGACATAACGAAACGAGACATGTCTTAAATATTCAAGACGAAAAAAGATATTCCTTACTATACGAAAACAAAACTCAGAATTCCGAACGCGTGGCTAAGGAATACCAAGTTAGCCCTTGATTGTTAATGGGCAGTTGCCAGTCATGGGCAGATTCGGTGACATTTAGCTGCCAATCTAATTCGGCAGTAATATTAGTGAGCAGACTTGACGATGTATGGCTGAATATTGAGTGAATGATGTAAGCTGTCGAGCATACATCATACGAGTTCAGTATACGCTTGATGGCATCATCGTGAGTCGGTGACGTTATGTCAATTGGTCAGCCGCTCAGTAGGATGTGGATGTGCTTTCTCTAGCCCTACAAGACGCCACAAATCATAAGTGGTAACTGGAAATATTTTAAGGAGCAAAGAGCAGGCAAGACCCATGATGGCCGAGATATTGACCAGGCTAATAGTCAATGCCAACCTTATGACGATATTTGTTAGTTCACCGAAGACACCACACCGGGCATGAGTAGACACATTTTTTTGTGGCCTATACAGACTCTGATGGGGTGTTAGACAAACTGGAGAACATCTACAATGAATATAAGGCTACAATGAATTTAAAAAGTTTAGACGTACATGAGAATGGTAGACGAATATATCATATTTTTTGATGTCAGTTAACCAAAGCCAAAGTTTACACCCAACCGAAACATTGAAAAAAGTCTCTTATGCCATCAGCATTTAATGCACTCAGTCATTTAATTTTACACCAAAGATTGTAAAAATAAACATAATTGTTTGCCTGGCAGATGTCTCGTAAAAACTTGTTGGATGGAAGTAGGCTCACAACAAGCAGCTACTGGCCGTTACTCGCTAATAACCACTGAAACAGGCAGTACTCCTGTACACGAGGTTTCTAGCCTGTTCATTAGTACTGGCTGTAGTTTGGATAGAAAATGAAGCAACGCATAAATTTGAGTTGAGTCCAACCTCGGAGTCAAGCTAGTAATTAGATATGTCTTAAATTTCATGCATATCTCTTCAGAACTGGAGACTTGTGAGCTGTTCAGTTTCAAAAATTTGTTTTTAGAATATCAAAATTAAAATGATGTAAAAATCGGTAATAATTCCTCCCGCTGCATATTTCTAACAATTATTTATACCTATTTTAACTTTTGCCCTTGCCCTTCAAATTTGTTAGATGGGTATTAGCGATGTCATTTTACAAAGTAATATACCGTACCTGAAATGTTGTAAACCAAAAAGTTTTGATCAGATAATGTCTGAAACAATTTTCTATTCTAATTACATAGGTATTACACAGAACTAGAAAGTTTCACTACGTATGTCTCGTTATAAAAAGATGAAAATTCTGGGAAATTTTAAAGCTCCTATTTTAACCGGGACGTCGCAACTTGGTATTTTCCTGGAATTTCCGCGCAGTGCTGAAAATTGTCCCGGTTTTTATTGCTAACCGGCACAAACCCTATTGTCTCGACTCGAATAGAAAAAAGTACGAACCAAATGCAGCAGTCTGGTGAGGGTTATAGCAAGATTATAAGTAACGATGACATGGAAATGTCAGTCGAGAAACTAATATTTTAATAAGCAACAATGTCTGTGCCAGTACACTCATTTTTATGGCAGCGCCAAGTAAATGAGTAACTTTATCCATCCCACCTCAGCACCAAACCAGAGCTGTCCTGCAAGGTTCCCCTACAGGGCTAAGGAAAGGTGTCACTCTATCCCACCTCAGCACCAAACCAGAGCTGTCCTGCAAGGTTCTCCTGCATCACGTCATCCGGGAACTTGGCTCTGAAGTCCCTATTGGCTCGCTCGCCCGGGATGATCTCATCCATGATGGACATGCACAGACTCACCACCTGTACATGATATACCGTATACATCAAAGTTAATTACATTGACAGTTAACTAAGAAGTCCAATATTTGTTACCTACTGTGAAATATAGTAAAAAATAATATTTGGAAATTAGTTTTCATTACCATAGTGGCTGGTTTTATCATCTCTTGAGAAATTTCTTAAGGGAATTTATACATTATTATTTATTTATAAGTAAATCTTATGCATGAGGGAGATTCAGACAGAGGAGGACCCAGAGAAAATAATAAATTAACTGTGAAAGGATTAAGTACCCAGAAATAACTTAACTTATCCAGAAAGTACTCACAGTAAAAAATCATAAATTGTTTTCAAATTAGGTAAAAATTGCAAACATTTCAATTCCTTAATTAGAAATGTGAAGAGGAAATAGGTAGTTTTAAGTTTTATTCTGACATCCAACAAAAATATAATAATAGTACTATAATGTACGTAAATTAAAATTGGAGTGAAACAATGAGAAAATTATTATTAAACATCAATTTACATTTTAGGCATTTCATCAATAAAATATTCAAAATATTCATCTTGATCTTACAAAGTTTAATCATAGTTCACAAATATTTGTTCAGGGTTATTAATGGTACCTAACAGGTAAAAACAACAAGGTTGGCAGATAGACCCCATTCTCTTTTGCATTCATTCATGTAGCCTCTTCTGAAAAGCTGGTCATTTTCATAAGCAAAATTAGATATTTTTATTGAAATTATATTTACAAGCTCTGAGCCTAATCCAGATTCCCTAATAATTTCAGCAACAAGTAATGAGATCTTCACAGCTGATAAGTACCTAACTTTGAGTGGTATGAGTATATCTGGAACACTGAAAGTATTTAGAGCATTGACAGATTGCTTTTTCATTCGTACAGGAGATGGTTCCTCAACAAACAATTCATACAGAGGGAACAACAAGCACCGAAGTAACAATGTTTACTTTTTCTATGTTTTTTTTCAAATTAAGGAATGATTACTTAAGTAAGGCACTAATTCCAAGTAATGTGAATAATGTTATGCAAATAAAAATATATTTTTATAAGGTCAAAAATGTTCTCCTACATAGTTACTCAGCATCTTAAGTTGATATGAGCTAAGACTAATGTCCATAATTAAATATTATATACCTTGTCTTGACAGTGTCTGAGCTGATTGACAAGAGCTGTGCACCTCTCCGGATCTTTGCGGCCATCAAAAGTGTCTAGCTCACTGGCCACCATATTAAGTTCTTCATCAGCATAATAAAACTGCGCCAGCAAGGAAGGGTCATCTCGCTGCAAATGGAGTGATTTTAACATAGGGATTTTAACCAAAGCAATCTAGTATATAATATAGCTAAAATTTCTTCATTACAACAGGTTCAATCATTCATGAAACAGCTACCAAAAAATTGTTAAGCTAATTGCACATCTTTTATATTCCTGAAACATTTCTGACAAATAGCATGTATACTACCGCATATACAAATTACAATATACTTAAATAAATGCAGTAAAATACATTGATTGTATATAATGAAATATAAGTTAAAATATTTTAAATATAATATTTGTCAGTCAATGCTACTACTGGGAAGGTCAGTACGGTACTGGTAATCAGTATGTATCAAACGTTCTAGCTGCAACCTCTGCTTTCTCACCATTTTCAGACTTCAGAGCAACAAAATTATTTCTCACAAAATGGATTGAAATCATTGAATTTTATCCATAAGTCTCTTTTATGCTAGATGAACTACATTTAATCAAATTGTTAACAAAAATGCAAAATTAGACTGTAAGATTGCAAAGGTTCTAATAATTTTTTCACTCTGGAGCAGAATTGGAATTTTCCTACTTGTTTCTGAAATCTTGTGGCTCAAACATGACAAATTTTTAATACATTTGAATCTTGTGGCCCGATCATGCACTTTTGTTAACAATTAAATAGGTAATTCATCTTGTGGCTCAGGAAATAGCGGAAAAGCTTTATATATGAGTGGCCATAAAGATAAATGTTTTCTACGCTCGCTCTGGACTCTGGAGTCTGCAGCAGCCAAATTTCATTCTTAAGTACGTACCGGTACCTAGAAAAATTCTAAACCTGGAATGCTGCTAGGGTAAACGTGGTATATTCTGACACATTAAGGACGCATTGAGAAATTAGAAACTATAAAAAAACGTATGCGTTACGTAAGTTCAGTTGGCTTCACGTGACTCTCAAAACACCTCACTATGCGTCAGCAAAGATGAAACGTCACAAAATGTTGCCATATTTATTAAAAAGCCTTTAGAATGGAAACCTACCAAATCCCTATATTCAGTCACCATAGTGGCAAAGCAGAGAGTTTTTTAGACTCTCCCTCAAGTTCATTTTTGAGTTCTATAAGTAGACCAATAAAGTATCATGGATACAAGCAGTGTGGAATTCTAGAGGGATAATAAATTAACCAGTACACATAGCATATTGGAAAGCAGGACCTGAAAGCTTGGAAAGGCCAGGAACTTTAAACTTTCAGTCCATTATTTACATATCCTATCCCTTTCCAGAATTCCATTTGTGATTGGTTTGTTATTTTAGCCACTTTCAGCTTTCCAGCTTTGATTGGATAATGGAATTGTAATATTATCTGCTTTCTAGCTGTGATTGGTTGCTGGAAATGCTTTCAAGCTGTGATTGGCTGATGGGGATGCTTTCAAGCTGTGATTGGTTGTGCCCATAAGCCCCGCCCCCAGGTATGGTACCGTCAACCGGGGCTACTCGGGACAGTTTTGAGTGTTTTTTGTTAATAACTTCTTACGATGAAACATTTCATAAACAAGTTTAGGCTCATTTTATAGCTCTTTGCGAAAGCTATCGAATGGCATCTTCAAAAAAATTCCATATGCTATTCGTAAGGTGCCAGAAGCAAAAAAAGAGTGTCCCGAGTAGCCCCGTCGAACAGGGCTACTCGGGACACTGGGAATGAAACTTCATTTTAAAACACTTGTAGCATGCAGAGCGTACTCATCCATTACTAACAGTACTCTGAAGTCTGCCTCTTTCATTGTAGATGATGTAGAGGTAGAATAAATGACATTTTCTGTGATTTTTACTTGTTTTTCCTTTATTGATATGATATTGCCATATACATTAATTACCGTATTATTGATGTGCAATTATCGTATTATTGATGTGATCTGTAAGCTTACAGGACGGCTCGTAATTTCACATCATTTTAATTGGGTTAAGTGAATTTACTATAGTAAAAAAGATCGTGAAAAACATACCTGAAACAGAAAGGAATATTTTAGTGACAACCAACGTATCTTTTGGAGAAATAAATCGTAGTTTTGGTCAATTACTTTTCATTCTATGATGCCTGGTGCACAATTCTATACATGACATGCTATGCACAATTTTGTGATGACTGATGATGCACTAATTTTTCGATAAGTGAAATTTTTTTCGCTGAGCAAGGAAAATGTGATCAATATTCTTTGTTTTTAATCAATTTTTTTTGTAATTGGAGCTTTTGCTAACTGAGGTTCTACCGTAAATGCGTTTTTGGAGGTGTCCCGACTAGCCCCGGGGGGGTGGCCCGAGTAGCCCCGCCGTGTGGAAATGGCCGCCATTTTTTTGGGGAATGAGATAGGCAATATCTGCCAATTATGTTTTCAAGTCGACACCTGGGTGCAACTTTTATGTAAGTAAAATTTTTTAATATGGCGAATATTTTTTTTTGCTACAGACCTTAGCAGAAGTAACTTTTCAAAACAGCGTTTTCACCATTTTTTTCAGGAATTTTTCAAAGCTAGTAAATGTCGTATTTTTCGACTGCCTTTATACTACATAGATAGGAAAAATGTTGACGTTTACGCCGCTATATTTAGTTTTGCAATATTCCAATTAGTTTCGCTACTATAACAGTTTTACTCCATGTCGGAGGTGTGTCCCGAGTTGCCCCGCCAGTCCCGAGTTGCCCTGGTTGACGGTATATGTACTACAGTATACTGGTTAACTAAATACTTAACTGAAACTTGATCATTACAAACAAAAGGCCTGGACATTTTTTAAAAAAAAACTCATTAAATATAAGACAAAAAATATCTATCAAACACGAGATATCCAAATAATTCTATTACAAACCTAATGCACTAAACAATTGAAACATTTTGTCCACTTTTGATCCTCCTTTTCATTTATAGTTAGTCTCCTGGCAGGCTGGCAGAGCACTGTATCAAAGGAAAGCTTTTCACCTTTGGTGGAAAGCTTATTTATGAGTGAACTTCAATTCTTAGAATTCCAGCCTGGATACAAGCATCATCATACATAAGAAATTGGTTTAAATCTTGAATAAATGAGGATATTAAAAATGAACTGATTCTAAAAAATCTCTGGTTTGCCACTATGTCCGTCACTGTGTGTGGCAATATTCGAAACGTGGTGAGTCGTATTGCGTCAGCGCTTCAAATTTAACTGATACGTAATGCCGACATCCACGTGTTTGAATCCCATTCGCTGTGTGAGCTGTATTGGGATACAACACGGCTTTGAATTAGAACACTAACGAATATTGAACACTACTTAATTACGTTTTAATTAACAGCTATTAGGCTTTTAATTAAGCAAATTTCAATTTTTGTACAAAGCTTGGAACGATCTGTGTGTGTCCAATTCAAGTCGTGTTGGAATTAGTTTTCATGTGTCTAAATCCATTTCTCAACTTAATCATCTATTAATTTATTTACGACTTGAAATCAGCGAATACAAGTATACTTAAAGGATTCCTAATATATTCACAGACGTA